AGAGAGAGACTGTGAGAGAGGGATAGAGAGAGTGATTGAGAGAGGGAGAGATCAGAAAGACATTGAGAAAGAGTGAAAACCTCATCCTTCATTCCACCTCCCATCCCACCCTATTTCTGTGACCTCCCGATCTGGCCATTCCCTTTGCAAAGTAAACCCCAGCTTGCTTCATGTCCCCCCACCCCATCACCATTTTGCCCCCACTCTCTGGAGTTCCATCCTGGAGGGACAGTTCCATTCCGTCCCCTCGACTCCTTCCCTCCACTCCTTCAAGGCACGTCAAGACCTAACTCTTTGACTACGCTTTCAGTCATCTTTTCCCTTCCCATCCCAACTCTGTCGGCTCCCACCCCCAGCTCAGGTGCCAAGCTGATAGTGTCAAGATGTCCTTCCAACATGAAAAAGGCGCTTTGTAAATGTTGTTATGTTTCCGGAAGGGAAACACAAAATATTGCTTATGCAGCCTGCGGGCCTTTCTTAAATAGAGAATCCAGACCTTGGCATCCTGATTTAGTTGGTCTAGAAATATAATGGGAGGTATTCCTCATCTGTAAACTTAAAATGGGGAAAGAATAGCCCCTTAGTCCTTGGACTTGAAATGTTTCATGAGCAAAATGAATTTACTTTGTTTAAAATATTTTTTGAAGAAATGAGAAGCTTTAGAATGGAGACTCCAATTTTGTTATAGCTGTGGAAACATTGTAAGAAATGTGTAACAATGCGTTTTGCAGTACCAAAACATTATTCTATAGTATTGAAAATCACTTGTGTTCATTGCAGAATGTGTACTAATACACTATAAAATTACAGTTAATAAACAGACAAGTTAGATGAACATGATGTGGCTACAGTGTTTGTCAACATTCTGATGCACTACTGTTTTCTATAGTGATGCCAAAACTGATCAAGGACAAGGGACTTCTACTGAGTTGTGTATTGAGGGCGTAAAACTTATTGCAACAGGTATGCTTTTCAAAGTTATAAAGAAACATTTGAATGAGATGTGAATAACGAAGTGCTATTTTAATTGAAAATGTAAAAATGTATTTGCTTAGAATATTACAAGGTGCACTAGTCTTATTCTTCATCAAGCTTTGTTTCTGCTACAAACACTGGATATTTTACAGTTTGCGGTGTTTATTAAAAGCCTATAAATAATTGTACAATTCCGATTTGTCTTTATTAGATAATATATTTCTTTTAAAATTGTTTTATTTCCAGTTGTCATTTTAGACCTGTTAATTATTTTTGCATTGTGCTATTTATAAAATAGAAATGTGTACAAGGAACATAATTTTTTTATTATGGACTAGAGATAATTCAGCTCTTGAAAGCAATTGTATAGAAAAACAAGGATTAAGAAACTAACTGAATCAAGCAGCTATGTATTCAAAAACTTCACTGCAGTGTTCATGAATTAAATGACTTGAGATTTCATCTGTTTGAACATTTTGATGGATAAAATAAAATTCTTGGTGAATGGGAATGCCGATAACCATTTTTGGTTATAAATTCTGATTCCTGAAGGGTGATCATGTGATGAGATTTTGGGTTCCTGGCAGAATTGTTTGTATTTACTTGGAAGACGTCTGGGCTCCAGATCATTCTGAATTCCTCTTAAACTGACCTCTCAGCAGAGAGTGAGAAAGAGGTGACCGCTTATTATGTATTGTCAGAATGGGAGTTTCAACTTATGGAATTTGAAATCTAGTAATGAGTAGTTGCAGGGTGAAAATCCGAATCATGACTGCACATGTCTGATTGAAGCCCTTATATTTATGATTAATGTCTTGATCCTACATTTTTTAATTGATTTAGAGCAAAACTTCTGACTGCCTTTGTAATCACTATGCTTGCTTCTTGTAATACAGAAGGCGATCCACTCAGAGCTTTGCATCAGGAAGCTAGGAGCATCTTATCACAGATGAATGACTTGATCGAGCGACTAGATACTGATCGCGAGGAAGTGGAGAATTCCGTAAAGAAAGAGAAACTGCAGGTGTCAGCTCTGAAAAAGAAAATTGATAAACTCTCACTCTGGTGGATTAAAAAGCTCCCTGAAGCTGTGCAGAAAGGTATTAGAACCACAATTCAACCAAAATTTTATTTTATATGTTCTGGCAAGTATTACAGCCTTGGTGATAACATTGTCAGTGAAAGAACAAACCACAGTAATTTTGTTTTATATGGTTTATTGATGTATAGATCATTAAATCTGCTCAATAGCTAAAAACATTACAAGATAATGTAACCACAAATAGTTGTCAGGAGATAATGTAAACAAGAGAATGATTCAAAGTAAAACATTAGTGCAGTCATAAAAATGTATCAGAGGCTAAAACATCAGATTGTTTTTTTCATTCTTACTATTTGTTAATTGTTGCTGAATTTTCTTCATAAATTTCAGGTGGAGGTATTAAGTGGAATTCCAGGGGTTCGTACTGGTATTCCTCCCGTCTCTTGTATCAAGGTTAATGTTTCAAGGTTATTGACCTTGATACTGAAACCCAGTGGAGATAGTTATATTGTAGATGACACCAAATTGGGGCAACTGTATTACTCTTAAATGTTAATATAACCTCTGGGTAAATAAATATTTTCTGGATATCTGTTCTGAAATTTCCTTTGCAACTCTAAACCTGTATTTACACATTGAAAGTACACGTTTTTTCCCTTTCTTTCCCATCCCTCACTTTTATGGTTTATAAATCTCTATTTCTGTTTGCTTTCTCTTTTAAGACATTGCAATGTGGTACAGCTTTTCATTGTGGATTTTGTTCTAACTACTTACAGTTCACTCCTTGATTAATTGGCTTAAGATCTGTTTTTATGTAGTGGGACTTCCTGCAGGAGCCTCTGACTCCTGAAATCACGCTCTGCTGTCAAACAGTACACCATCCAGCAACTTGATTAATAATTATAACAGCCACTGAGAGAGGCAAGGCTAGATTTAAGGGTCAGATGATGCTGGAAACGGTGCAGCAACCATAATGTGTTAACCTATCCGGAAGATCTAAACCAATTAAGGAGATGGGCCAAGGAGTGGCAGGTTAGGGGAAACAGCTGGAAAGCGGTATTAATAAATAGGGCAACTTAAAATAAAGGAGGTAATGGTCGAGACAAGATGGTCTGGATGGTACACCTTTGTACTTAAAATGTCTGTTTCAAAGGCATATTCGATTCACGGGCAGGGCGAAACCTTAGGCAAGTTTCCATATTCCACACCCCTCTGTTCACCAAGCAGTAAGCCGGAACCTGGTTGTTAATCAATTGGTGAATCGCTTTTCCAGGGGTAATAATCCCTTTAAAAAAAAATGATTTTTTTCTTTTAAATAATAATTTGGTCACATGACTGTTTGTGGGGCAATGCTATACACAATTGGCTGCTGTGTTTCAATTCATATATAGTCAAATCACCTTACAGTATATTCTGTGAAGTGCTTTTAGATGTCTCAAAGATGTGATAAGGAACTATATCAAATACAAGGATTATTATTATTAGAACTAGAAATAATAAACACATTGCAGGGGTACATGTTAATAGAGAAGGAAAAGACTAGGTGTGGTTATTCATCTTTGAATCAGTCAATGGGAAGCTGTCAATAAACTTAGACTAAGTTAAAAGAACTTATTCAAATCTTGTAGATCATTTTTGAGGTCAGTTCAATACAACTCATCTGCAGTTGGGTTCAAATAGCATGATCTTGATGATAATTATTGCAGAAATTGTTTTGACATTATGAGCGATGAGTCAACTAACACCCCTAGGTATTATTTCAGCTTTCCTCCCTGCAAGTTATATTCTGTCCATGAGCCTCCTATTTTTACTTCTGGAATGTTGTATCTTCATTTATTTGTATTGAACTTCAATTGACAATCATCAACCCATGTACATATATGGTGATACCTGTGACGCTTCCTCTATTCCATAACTGCCCCAATTTGGTGTCATCTGCAATATAACTACTTCCACTGGGGCTCTGATTCAAGGTCATTAATATATATTAATACGGGAGAGATTCCAGGAATAATCTCTGAGGTACTCCAGTTAATGCCCCCGCCTGTTTATACCTAGCTCCCCAACAATTACCCTCTACTTTCTTTCCTGCAATCAATTTTGAATCCATGTCCATGCCTTGCTCTTGATTGCAGAGACTGATATTTGCATATACGTCAAAATCAGTTGCTGATTTAACTCAGTCACTATCCCATTGAAGGAGTTCTTAAAGCTAGCTCCAGGATCGAAAAAAAACATGTTTAGTTATAGCCAAGATGACGACACAATTGTTTCCAAATTAGTCACATCTGTTGTGCCACAATTAGGGGAGGGCAAGGTTGGAGGGAAGAGTTCACTTTCATGGCCAGACTTTAGGAATTGATGGAAAATGCAGCATTTTATAACTAATTAAGTGTGAAACATTGAACCTGCTATGAAATGGTGCACGTTTTCACCCAAGCTGTTTATTTCTCCATCTGATACTTCATATTTTTTTGTTCAGAATTTTAAAAGAAAATTAATGTTTCTCTGTATTTCTGTTGTATATTGTGCTCTTATCAAGGATTCTGACAATCAACACATTGAAAAATAGTTAAAAGTGGGCGAATATATTTGTCTCATGGTTATATTGCACTTGTTTGACCAGATTTCAATCAGCCTCCTTCAGATCATTCTATGGCTCTGAGACTCTACACCGCATGAAGGGCGCTATAAAAATGCAAGTGTTTGTGTTGTGTGTGGAGGGTAGTCCATCCAGAAATAGCCAGATAACATCTGGGATCTGACTCACTCATGCTCAACTACAGTTGAGCACATTTTCTTATATAGTATGTTATTGAGTACCACTGCTTGACCCTCCTTCACCACTGGAATTCTGTTGAGAATTTTACAGAAGAGAAGGATCCATAAACAGTGTAATAGTGAAACAAGAAAGCTAAGAAGTCTTTTTTTTCCCCCCACAGAACATGAAATCTGTGCCCAAGATTTGTGTGAATTACAGTGGCATATTGCAAGTAAAAATGTCACATATCATGTACAAGGAATAAAATCACTACCACAGAAATGATGAACCAGATTGTTGAAGGTGATCTAAACTATTTCAAGAAAAATAGCCCTTTACTCAAGGAAAAGATGAGATTGGAAGACAAGTTAGCAGAGCAGGCCGAACATGAAGTAAATGAGGTATTTAACACAGACTTTATTCATGTCTCATAAAATGTTTACTTCTATCTTAAGATGTCTTAGTATGTCACAGGCAACGCACTTCTATTGTATGTTGATTTATGTTTATCCTGTATTTATGTGATCCTGTAGCAAAGTGGTTAGGGCATTCGTCTCATAAGCAAGAGGACCCGGTTTGATTCCCGGGTGGGGTGAAACCTTAGGCAAGTTTCCTTACAGCACGGCTCTGTTTACCTAGCAGTAAATAAGAAAACGGTTTTTAGTTGATTGGCGGATCGCTTTCTGGGAGTAATAATCTTTCCAAAAATAATAATTTGGTCACTCAATCATGACTGTTTATGGGACACTCCTGTGCGCAATTGGCTGCTGCATTTCGCCCACAAAATATACATTCACTACACTTTACAGTATGTTCTGTGAAGTGCTTTGAGACGCCTCAAAAACATCATAAGGCGCTATATCAAATGCAAGGATTATTATTGTATTCACAAATAATATTTGTTAGTGAGCCTTTTTTACGTAGAGAGGTAAAATATAGGGCAAGTCAGTGTGTTACATTAACTACCATCCAATCCTCCAGAAAAATTTTCCAAAGACAGTTTAGAAAATTTGGCAAGATCATCCTTGATTCTCTTCCTGAAACAGTGCTGCTTTCTCAATTGTGTATTTTCTTTTGTTCATAAGTTTCTCAAAGTCTTGGAGCTTTCTTCTTTGGTGAAATAAGAATTCAGGATAAGGCCTTCTATGAGCAGAGTGAAAGAAAATTACCAAATCAAAATGACACTATTATGATATTAGCTTCTTGACTGGGTGTCTTTTGTTCTGTGATGTGACAGTAATATCCATTTTTTCTAATGGAGATAAACTTCTATCAAAGACAGAAGAAAGCTATACATGTGATAAATAATCTAAAATTCTACTTTTGCAGATGTTTTTCAATATTGATTTTGATGAAGTCTCAACAATCAACCATTTAACTTTTTAGGTGACAGAAACTCTTACCAACGTTCTTCAGGAACTTAAACAAACGAAACAGAGTTTGGATAATGCGATGTCTGACGCAAACTTTGAACGGGCTGTGATGCAGGGACAACTTGACAATCTAAGTAAACAATTGGAGGAGCGAGAGTAAGAATGTTTGGGTAAACTTTAATTCATCTAATTTAAAAGCATTTATTTTTATTGCCGAAAAGTTTTCAAGAAAAAATAAAAAGATGGAATATTTTTTATAAGGGTTCCAAGGACTCTTTAGTTAATAGGCACTATAACTGTACATCTATATCAATACCTCTAATGAAGCAATTCAATATTCCTGCCATTCTAAGCCATTTTCTCCTTGTGTGATACCGTGACTGCCACCGCATATCGTAAACTTGTATGTTAATAACAATAATAATCCTTGTATTGGTATAGCATCTTTCACGTCAGGAGGACATCTCAGAGTGCTTCACAGGATTTACTGCAGAGTGTAGTGACTAGGTGAAAGCCTAGATGTTCTATTGATAATATTCTTGTGCCATCATACTTCTTTTTGCTCCATCATGCTGTCACGGTATCATAACTTTTTTATTTACTTGTGAATTACACGCTTCTTTCAGGTGCACTCTGAAAGTCACGATGCTTCACTTCTCATTTTTGTTGAAGATATGAGTCCAGTCAGAGTGATCTCAGAACACAATAACACAACAACAACTCGCACTTATATAGCTCCATCCACGCAGGGTAGCGTCTCAGAGCTCTTAACAGTGGCAGAGCCTGAGTCTGAGCCGGTGGGGGAGGGGGGGTGGGTGGTGGGTGGCTGTAAGCACGGTTGAAGAGGAAGATTTTCAGGCGGATCTTGAAAAAAGGGGAGAGAGGGCAAGGTGGAGGGATTGAGCGAGACTGTTCCAGAGTTTTGGGGAGCAGTGGCTGAAAGCGCGACCTCTGTTGGTGGGGTGGATTTTGCCAGGGACGAGCAGGAGGCTGGTGTACCAGTCGAGCGTAGGCGCCAGGTGGTGGATTGGGGAGTGAGGAGGTTGGAGAGGTAGGGAGGTGCTAGAGAGTGAATGCTTTTGAACACGAGTGTGAGGATCTTGAAGTCGATCCGTTTGGTGATGGGGAGCCAGTGGAGCCTGGCCAGAACTGGTGAGATGTGGGTACAGAGTTTGGTCTGGGTTAGTATGCAGGCGGTGGAGAACTGAATGAGCTGGATTTTGTGAATGGTGGAGCTGGGGAGATCGGAGAGGAGTGCATTGAAGTAATCCAAGCGGGAGGTGACAAATGCATGCACGAGGGTTTCGGCTGCATTTGGGTTAAGGTACGGTCAGAGGCAGGTAATGTGGCGGAGGTGGAAGAAGGCGACCCTGGTCAGGGACCGGATGTGGGGGAGGAAGGACAGCTGGAAGTCGAACTGGAAGCCTAAATTGCGCACTGGTTCGGTGAGTCTGAGGGAGAGCTCAGGGAGGTTGAGAAGTTTATAGATCCACAGGAGTGAAGGTGTTGACGGGAGCCAAGGAGTATGGTTTCCGTCTTGTCCATATTCAGCTGCAGCAAGTTTACACTCACCCAGGCCTCATCCAACACTTTATTTCTCTTAAATTATTTAAATTTATTCCGACAAGTACTAGTAAATAATAACTTTCCCAAATCTGGCACAACGACACAAAAAAATAACACATCGGCAATACTTTAAAAATACTTTCTTAACAGTATTGAGTTTAACCAAACTTTAATAAATCATGAAATCTTATACTTTAATAACTACTGAGCCTCCCTATACAAAAACCTCTTGGGAAACACAGAAGAGAAGACCTTACCCAATTTTACTTCTTCTGGGAAAGTTTAAGGATCTAAATTGTGCTAATAGTGTTAATTCAGGTATTAATCCAACCCAGAATCTTACTCTCTCCTCAAATTTAGCTTACCCCCCCCCACCCTCCTTTATACCCTAATTTAGTCTATCTAACCATTACAACCCAAAAATGGAATTCAAAGGTTATTTTGTTCAATCCTTGATTAGCCAATCATATTCCCAAACGGGTTCATCCAATCATACCTTCACACCCCTTGAGACAGCTGGTACCATGTGTCAAAGGTTCAACACCACACTCAGTCTTCATTTTCTTGACACTTTTAACTCAAGGATTTCACAGACTAAGAGGGATTTAAGCAGGAAAGCAATAACATAATGCACTCAACAAGTCTCCTTCACATTGCCTGACGTGAAAGGTGCTATAGATTGATAAGCAAAGTAATTTTTCAATATAACGAGGTTCACAAAAAATATCTTGTTCCTTAGATGACATCGTCTGTGACCCTCTCATCGTGAACCCAAATTCACCTCATACTACATAATCCTTACTGCACCCTCATAATACAAATAACGTTTTAATGGTTTCTGAGATTAGTTGAACAAATTCTGCAATCCTTTTTGATTAAATCCCTGTGTATACAAGCATTTACACACAACTTCTATAATAGCTCCCTAATATGCTGTAATAGTATCCTCTAGGAAGAGGTAGAGTGGTATTATGCTAATTAAATGCTAGACCAGAGGAAAGAAACTCCTGACCATAAAACATAATGCAGTAAACTCCTGATAGCAAGATGCTGGCTTTACTAGTCACTGCCACTTAAGTAGCCATGTTGTCAATATCCCAGCTGATTCCCATTCAAAATATTAGTAGTAAAGGTCTCTGGTTTACGTGTCACTCCACTTAATACGTAACTAGTCACATTCTAGCAATTCTTGTAAGTTCTTGCAATGTAAAATTGATTGGATAACTGGTCCGATAAAATGGGGAGGGTGGGCTGAAGGATCAGCCAAGGGATCCTGGGGCACATTCAAAGTTATTCCATAAGTCCAACACATGGCATGGTAGGGAGGCACGATGGGAACCATGACAACAAGTTACTGCAAAGTGACTCCACATGATTTGAATAAAATATGTTCATGAAATCCAAATATCTTTTCTAAACTACTGTATCTAACAGTAATGCAGCAACTTCCAGAAATGTGATTTAGAAAGCTCAGAATTCAGACATTTCAGAGAGTTGCATTTCTATGAGAGCAGAAAAGCTGGTCTTGTCTGTAAGCTGTGATTTCTCTCTCACAACAGCTCGAAACTCTGGAACTCCCTCAATCCCTCCGCCTTGCCCCTTCCCTCTCCATTTTCAAATCCTTCCTAAAGACCTTCCTTTTTGATTGTTTGGGTCACCAAACCCCTCCTTTTCCCTCTGGCTTGGTGACAGACTTCGCAACTGAAGTAAGTGCTCTGGTACGCGACCCAGTGTGAAAGGCGATATATAAATGCAAGTTGTTGTTGTTCATTGATTGTTATGCATTTACAAAAATGTTTGTGCAAAATAACAACAAATTAGAAAAAAAGCTTATTACATGCTTAATAATAATGCACAGTCTATTTACTTCATAGAAAAGAATTAAGAGCTACCGAAAATATCTTGGATAATTTCTTTAATCAGGAAATAAATACAAAGTATAAGTTGAAAGAAGACGAAGTTGCATTGACCAACCTTCATCAGAAAGTTTCGGATTTGAAATTCGATGCAGAAAACTTGGAATCGAATGTAAGTCTTTGATTTTAATGGAACATTTTGTTAGAAAAAATAAGTCAACACTTAAAGCTGTTGCAAATTGACAAATTTATTTTTCAGAGGAAAATCTGCTAAAGTATTGTGTGGAAAATAGATGACTATGAAGTGATAACTGTAAGCTATTTAAAAGTAATAATACAGAATTGCAACTTCAAAAATGGTGCAATAGACAAGAGTCCCCAAATGAACTCCATTCATATTCATATTTATTAGTTATAAACATTTTATTTTAAAATGTCATGTTCCAAATTGTCTGATTATAAAACAAACCATTCAAAATATTTCAGCTGAACAAAAATCAATTCATGTTAGGATTCTCCTAAGAAAATGTAGGAGTGTCCTGTGGATTACTATTCACTGACTAGTATTGCGTTTTAGCTATGGTGTTTGTGCAAAAATCATATTTTAAACCATGATGTTACATTATTGCTTTATAAGCAAGTACTAATATTCCAGGTAAAAAAAGCTGATTATCACTCATAAACTTACTTAACTGTCATTGATCGGTGAATTCATCCTACAAAACCTGCACAACACCCATCATTGCTTTCATACCTATCTTCCATAACAATTCAGAAAGCATTGAAAGAAGGAGCGTAATCTGAGTTGTAGCTTAATTGGTGTAGTGAATAGCCAGATTTAAAAGTTCAAAGACAGTATAAATTTATTTTTAATTCCTACAAAAATCAACATTATTAAACTCCAATCAATTTCATTCTGTGGAAGACATTCCCTTGTTTGAAACAGCACTGGAATTGTGTAGTAGTGTTCCTTGACTTAGCTATATGCAGTAATATTAAATTACATTCTTAACAGATATATTTGCAGCTTTGTTTTTGTATTTAAAGTGATGCAGCCTCTGAATTCTTGGAGTTCCTAAAAATGATGAATTAGGCTGCATGTCAGCCCGGCTCAGTGGTAGCATTCTCACCTCTGTTTCTCAAGGTTATAGGGTCAATCCCCATGTTGGGAATTAGAGTTTATACTCTAAGCTGACACTCCACAACAGTGCTGGAGGGGTGTTGCATTGTTGGAGGTATTGTCCTTCGGATGAGACGTTAAATCAAAGTCCCGATTGCCTGTTCAGGTGGCTGTTAAAGATCCCGTGACACTATTTGAAAAGAGAAGGGAATTTTGTCCTGGCCAACAAATCCCACGAATAAAATTGGTCACTCACTCCAAGGCTATTTGTGGGACAGTACTGTGAGCAATTGGCTGCCGCATTTTGCCCACAAAATACATAGTCAAATTCACTTAACAGTATACTCTGTGAAGTGTTTTGAGACATTGGATTGATGTGACAAGACGTTATATAAAATGCAAGAATTATTATTATCTATTTTATCAATTATTTCTTTGAATATACTTCAGTGTATTTCATCTAGATATCTTGTTGCCATTTGAGCACAAAATATTGAGGATAAGTGAACACGTACATAAAGAAAAACATGCAGCATGTTCCATGGAGCTAAAAATTTTAAGTACAATGCTATAAAACCAATTGTCAAAGAATAGATCTACCAACTGTAACAAATTCAATAATAATAATAATCCTTGCATTTGATATAGCGCTTTTAACGTCGGGAGGACGTCCCAAAGCGCTTCACAGAACACACTGTAAAGTGAATTGACTGTACATTTGTGGGCGAACGCAGCAGCCAATTGCGCACAGCAATGTCCCACAAACAGTCGTAGATTGAAAATGACCAATTTATTATTGTTTTTGGTTTTGGAGGGATTATTATTAGGTGTGGAGTAAGGAAACTTGCCCAAGGTTTCGCCCTGACCTGCCTGGAATTGAACTCATGTCTCTCACTTGCAAAGCGAGTGCTCTAACCACTGAGCTACAGGACTCCACAATGGGCTGAATGGCATGCTTCCATTTCCTATTTTCGTCTTTGACTGTGACACCATCCCCTTCTCCCCTCCCTTGCTTGGCATCTCACCTGGTCTTTATACAGCCCTCCAAGATGGTGCCCCACATGAAGCGTGTGGTCTGCTAAGGTGACAAAGATTGCTATAAAAATCTGTCAAGGAGATTGCAGACAGGCTTTGTTGTTACGTAGTGTTGTCCAGACAGTGTTGTTTGTTGACCTCAAATTGACCATTAAAATGACCTTAATTTCTGTGCAAATGACTCTTTTGAAAATCTAGGAGATGTGAAACTAGTTGGTCAGTTTGCTGACCAAATAATTGTACTTAACCAACAAGAACAATCAAGTCGACAGCTTGGCCATTTACCATTCTTTTTAAACATGTATGAGTCTTAGATTTATTTTATTTAGCTTAAATTTGTTTTATGTTTTAGAATTATTTTTAACCCACGATCTGATGCATTTCCTCCCCCCACCCGCAAACCTGATTCAAGATGCTTTTAGATCAAATCAATGAGGCCAGATACTTATCCGGTTCTTTTTGAAAGCATTAATTAAAGCATCATCTACTGCTCTGTGAGGAATTTAAAAAAAAATTAGACTTGCTCAAGTCTTTAATTTTAAACCTATAATCTGGGCCAATAGAAAAGTGCGGGCGCACCTTTTCCCCATTTCCCGCTGCAACGACCCTCGCCCATGATAAACCCGCCATGTCCATGTCTCTTCCATGTCTCTGAGTGTGTGAGTATATATCTCTCTCTGGGTCTCTGAGCGTGTGTGTCTCTCTAGGTGTCTGTGTGTGGTACCAGCCCTGAGTGGCAGGAGTTGGAAAACTCCTGTAGCCTCACTGGTGTCCCACCCCCACAAAAAAAATGGCCACCCAGTTTTTGTTAAAGAAGCAATTAATATTTTTTGTAACAATCTAATATGTTTTATTTCCTTATGTTTAGTTTTTAGCAATAAAGTGGAAAAAAAATGTAACAGTAAAATGTACCTCAATAGAACCAATCAATCCCTGCAATTTTCCCGCAAAATTCAGTAAAGACCTTCGCAATTTCCTGCAAGATTCGTAAAGCACTCCGCAAATTTTGCAAATATGTCCACACTTTTCTATTGGCCCAGCCTATGACCTCTAGATTTCCGCTAGCAGCAGAATCTAATACCACTGAGCATTTTAAAGGTCTGGATTTTAGATCTTGTCTCCTTGAATCCAATCTGCTTTTCGCTAATAAAATTAAATTCAATTCTAGGAATCTCCCCTCTGGCCTTTGGTCCTGGAACCATCTCTACTGTTATACCTTGAATCCTCTCACACTTTTTTTGGGGAAAATTAGAGTACCCAGAACTGCACCAAGTTCTCCAATTGTAGACTCGCCAGTTACCTATGTAAGGTTTGAATAACTTATTTTAAAGTGTATTAAAATACTTTGGAGATGCAATCCAATATTTATTGACACCTTCACATTTTGTGGAGATGTTTAACAAATTGTCAGACATCACAGCAGAATCCTTAGCCTTTTCCACATCTTTAATACCCCTTTACATGTACATGGTATATTATTTCTTGTTCCAATTTGCATTACCTTGCTTTCAGCTACTTTCAAACCCATCTGTCATTGCTCAGCCCATCTGCTTAGTTGTTTCAGATTTTCATGAATGTAATTCATCTTCAAATTATTACACCCCTGGCAACATATCTTGGTATAAGTAGAAATTTTGTTTAGAAAAAACTGAGTTATTTTGAGTAATGTTTTGATACTTTGAATGATATGGAATCTGGAAAAGATCCTTGTGAACCTCCACTGGTTATTGCGTCCCAATTGATCATCTCTTCCAATTTCTATTGAGTTTTAATTTGACTGACAAATAATTAATTCCATTAAGTTTAAAAATTTTGCAGTTGAACTTTATCAAATACCTTTATCAAATATAAATCCAAGCATCGTAGAGATCTGATTAGCTGTACTAATTGGGTTCAGCTCTTTTGCAGATGAGCAAACAATACAAATAATTGGACATCGTGCAAAATACAAATTGGCTACAGTGACAACTAAAGATTGCTCCTTCAGGAACAATTATTCTGTCACTATTGTCCACAATGTGCCAGTCCTCTGATTGAGCCTTTTTTGTTTACTCTCTTTTTCTGTCCCTCACCTCAATTTTCTTTTTGCCTATTTCTGGGACATTGCTGTGCGTAAATTGGCTGATGCGTTTACAAGAACACAGTCATTACAACTTTATAGAAAACCATGAAGTGCTTTTTGCTTAAGATCTATGTGAAATGTAAGGATAATATTTTGTTATCTATTCAAAGTCTGCATGAAATGATCTGGAACAGTTACTGTTGATGAAACGTTATACATTGTGTCTCCTGTATGTGATATATTTTTTGTGATTCTGTCACTGTATGGAATATTATCATAGAATCATGGAATTATAAAGCACAGAAGGAGGCCATTTGGCCCATCGTGTCTGAGCCGCCTCTTTGAAAAGAGCTATTCAAATCAATCCCACTCCCCTGCACTCTCCCCATAAACCCTGTTGTGTTGTGAGAGGTGAAGGTCCCCAAATCTGGTGTTCCATTCTCCCCTTCCTCTGACACCCCCGCCCCCCGTAGTATAGTTTATTCCACTAATATCAAATATATATATATGACAAACAGTGAAATTCAACAAGCTGTATTCAAACCATATGATCATATAACAACACAATTGTCCACACTATACAATGATACAGATATACAAATCAAATAATTGAGAAGCAACAGAATGCACTCAGGAATTGCTCAGTACTCCAGACAAAACAATAAGCCCAAGAATGCACCTCAACATACACAATAGAAATCAGCCCCTGGAAATCCCTCAGGACAACTGATTCTGTAATACAAAACGTAGTAGGGACTGGCACCCGGTAAACCCTCGGACACAACCAATCCTACAAAATCAATACTTAATTACAGAGCTATCACACAGAATCTCCTGTAAACTCAACAGATACAATCAGCTCTTAGCCCAGGACCTCACTTGTGCTGCCTAACCTGACTTCTGTGTTTCAAATGTACCAACCACTACTACTGTTATACTTCTCTGCCTTACAAACAGAACCAAAAACATATTAACCACTATTCTTTCTTTTTCACTTTTGATGGTCACTTTCTTACTGGAGGTAAATTCCCTCACTCCTGTACATATATCGATATCGATTCCACTGGGAAGTGTGCTGACACTCTACACAACTCCCAACTATTTCGAAGTTACATCTTTCTTTTATGTGTTTCTAACTCCACCTCCCCTTGTCACAGAGATAGCCTCACCCTTCACGGGCTACTTTGCAGAGAGAGAGATATAGACAACTTCTGGGCAGCCATCCACAGCCTGCTTGTTTCTCAGCCTTGAGTTAGCCTTTTCTGTGGTCCATTGTTCTTACATCTGCTCAAGGACCCGATTGCTCATTATCTCAGAGGAGTGAACATCTTCCCAGGAAAATATGAAATGTAATCAGAAGCTAACCTCAGCCCGTGCAGCAAAGCTACTTTTAACCATTTAACTATCAAACCTTCTGGGACATTCGTTTGCTGTTTAAAATATATGAATGTATCCTGAGGTGATAGCCAGTATATTTCAACAACCCCCCCATGCAGCCCCCTCCGTCCCCGATCCTTATAGACTTGAACATGTTGGCTTTAGAATAACTTAAAGTATATTTATTTCCTTTAAAGAGTATGAACTGTGATAGGGGAAGTATTCTGATAAATCCAATTTTTTTTTAAAGAAGGGAATTTGGGAAATTAAATTCTCTCTTATAGTTTGTATCATAGAATCTCGCTCTCTTTTACCATAAAGTTGTGTACATTTCTGTAGATTCCAGGGAACTATCCTTACATCACATAATAATAGGGAAGTACTCCGGCCTCACGAGAAGTTCTTACCAAAAGTAATATTTAATAACTTGATACAGGATTTAATTATTTCATCCTTTTGCTCTGCTTTACTCAAATTTGAAATGGAGTGTAGATTCCCACTCTGTGGGTATAGGCAAGGCTATTGTTATTATGCAAAAGAACAAACTATTTCAGGAAGTCATTCAACTGTTTTATCTCCAATGGGGCAAGAGATTGAGTCAACCTGTGACAAAAAGATTGGCAAGGTGTTTCATGTAAAGTGATTGTGCTGTTATCAGTTAATAGGAAGAAATCCCCCTAAAAGTGTTGAAAACTATTACACAACAGTTACATTCTTACAGATGTACACTAATGTTATGAGTTTCAAATAAGCACTTATGTGGATTTAGAAAGATTTATAACTTCTCAGACCTCAGCCTTTACTAAAGATCACTATTTGAATTTGATGGCCAATATTTGTTGTGACATTACTGTTTTCACCTTAGGTTACGTTTACAACGCCCAATTTGCTGGCAAATACGCACAGAAAGGTGGGGTGGGTTAAACTATGCAAATAACACTAAAGCCCTGCTGCAGACATCATCTGAGCATCTGGTTCATACCTGTTACTGGATAAGCATTTTAATAAATATATCAAGTGCATAGTTTAACAGTAAGAAGCATTGTTTCATGTTATGTGTCCAACCAAGATAGACTTGCCTAATATGTCTCTAACCCATATGAATTCCTGTTTTTGAATTACTGTGGACCTGCCCAACTATGCCAGACGTGCCTTCGAAGAGATGCTTCCTCTAATCTCCCAAAGTTTTTTCAAAAAGCATGGTACTTATTTTATTGACCTTAGAAGAGTGAAGGGAGGATGAGCAGCTGTACTAGGATTGGAACCTAGAACATTCTATCCTCAAATCTGGTTCAACTAACTTTTCAGAGTAAAGTAATGAAAAGGATTGCTTACCATGAGGAAATACTGTTCTGCATTTAATTAATGGGCCATTGATGTAACAGTGACATTAAATTATTAGGTACATAAAACAACTAGATTATAAGCTGCTATAATATGCAATGTAACTGTTTTATCGTGGATTCTATTATATATTTAAATTACTATTCTATCTGTGTGCATGTTAATATCTTTGAAAGGCCTTTCTGGTTGAAAACTCACTTTGGCTTTTGGTATTTGTACAAACATTTGATTGTGAAAACTATAGTGACTACGTCTGGCTGCAAGCTATGTTATTCTGCATCGAATTATATCATTGTTTAATGCTCCAGACCCTACACCATGTGACAGGTGCTATATAAATGCAAGTTGTTGTTCGCCTGCTGGTTAAAAGTTACCCTAGGCAGTAGTGTTTGCTTTTCATGCCTGGCAATCTTTGGCATTCAGTATTTAATTACCTGAAAAATGTTTTTCTGCAAAAATCATGATGAAAATAATGTAAAATATTGTGGAATAATGATATGAACTGCAGCTCTTACATCACATTTATATTAAGGAATGGTATACAAATAAAAATGTTTTTCATTAAATGGGAAAAGTAGACATTTTGCTGTTAATTATTTTAAGGAAGTTATGCAGGGCTAATTTAGCAAGTATGCAACAGAATAATCACATGTAACATCTAAGAATCAAACTAGATGTTGTATTTGGACATACTGCTCATTCACTGTAGTTCAGCTCTTTCAGCAGCTTAAATCTGAGGCAGAGGCCATAGTGATATTTCTACTCTTGATGCTGTCTTTATTATTGAATCTGTGGGTTGTATTTCAGGAGTGCAAGTGCAGCAGCATTTCCTACTGGGAAAGGGAAGAGCTCTGCAAATGATACACAATGTATGGATTACTAACCTCCTGCTCAAGCCAGTTTCTGCTCATTGCAAACAGCTGATGGCACAGTTTTTTTTAAGTTAGAAGAAATTTACAAAACAGACACTGTAGTTGCTGTCAGATGTTTAAAGATATTTTCCCCCCCAAAAAATGTTAAAACAACAGTCTTCAATGGAAAAGAAGCAAGATTACCTCTAGATGGTGCTCTTGCTTTCTCCAGTAGCGATCCATACTAACAACTTTATACTGCCCATGGAGCTGCTTGCCAAAATTCAAGATAAGGTACCAACATCAGAGTATAAATACTGTAGAAGGCTTATACAGTAAGGATGAGTAACTGAGAAAAAAAGTGTTGAATTGCAAAAAAAGTTGAAGGGGGTAAGATTTTAGTTTTTGACTAAATGTTATGAAGCGAGAAGTCTAGCTTTAGAAATGTCTCCTGATTAAGGAGATCTTTGCCAGATCTGCTGGAAATACAAATTTGGATTTCTGAAGGATTATGATGCAATACCATTCAATCACCTCTAAGTACATGAACGCCAAAAGCTTTGCCTGTCGGCTATAACAACTTTTGGTAAATAAAGACAAAACCTGGATTGAGTAACTTGTCATTTTATAACTGGGATTTATTTAGAAAAATATTACTGATCATTTATGGTTTAGTATTAGATTTGTGATATGACAACAGAAATGTACCCTCTGAAAGTTCCAGTAATGTGTCTCTGATTTTACATAAAATTTAGAATAACCATTTAAGAAGAGCTTTATCCCTATAGCTTCAAAAGAAAGGCTGATGTTTCTTACTCTTGGCTTTACAGATAGAAGATTGGAAAGCTAAGTCAGCTGAAGCAAAATCTGAAACGAAAATTCAAAATGCTATTTGTAGTGAACTTCGCCAGGCCATTAAGTTTACGGTAAGTGACTACTTTTTTCCCCATTGTTGTTCCCCAATGCAGCTGAAACCCTTGTCCACACTTTCGACATCTCCTGCCTTGACTATTCCAATGCCCTCCTCATTGGTCTCCTCAGCTCCACTGTCCACAAAATCCAACTAATTCAAATCTCCACTGCCCATATACACACCCACTCTAAACTCCATATCCCCATCATACCAGTCTTTGCCAGGCTTCACTGGCTCTCTATGACAGAACAGATCGACTTCAAGATCAACTCACACTTGTCTACAAATCCCTTACACTGTTAAATCATGCCTGAAGACCTTCCTCTTCGACTTATGGCTACCTCCCCCTCCCGGTTCGGCATTCGGCTCCGCCCTGTTAAGTGCTCTGAAACTCTACCCTGTATGTAGGAACACTAAATAAATGCAAATTATTGTTGTTGTTATAATACTTATTCTATTAAGAACAGTATTCAATTATGTGAAATTAGTTGTATATAAATTTAGAACTACATGAAATGAGTTTAGGACAGTTTCAATTCAGTTCTGAGTGAGTCCAGATCTAAAAATAGTACTAACATGTCATTCTCGTTCAAAAAGGCCACCAAACATTTTAAGCGCTCTGGGACACTACCCTGCGTGAGTGTATAAATGCAAGTGAGTGCATAAATACAAGTTGTTGTTGTTGTTGATGTTGCTCTCCCTGATAAATGCTCACTTAGCATAGAGCAAAAAATTAATTAATTTAATAAGTACGGTTCAGTATTGCATCATGTGGTGCATTTACATAATGAGTCATTGAGGACGTTAAGAGTTTTTCACTTTCTTTAAAATTATCTTACATTGTAAAAGAGAATGTTTTATTTCCTTTGTTGAAGTCTGTGGAAAGACGATATGCATATTCAAAAATTCCCACCGGAGTGATTTACACTTATCTATTGCCTAAATGCACCCTCTTAAATGGATCAGCTTTGAAGCAAAATGTATAGGATTTTTAAAGGACATTTTGATTTATTTCTTTAATATAATAATAATCTTTACATTTGATAGCGCATTATCACGTCTTTGAGACGTCTCAACTCACTTCGCAGAATATACTGAAACATGAATTGACTATGTTTTGTGGACCAAAAAAAAAGAATCTTTGCATTTGGAATAGCGCCTTTCACTTCGGGAGGATGTCTTAAAGCGCCTCACAGGTTTCCTTGTAGGGACTTTGTGTTTTGTAGATGATCGTCTACACGATGAAAGGGAACGGAAAAAGGAGAATCTACTTTTTGTCACTCACTTTATAAATCATTCTAAGCAACTTCTGTTTGAATTCTGTGTCTTATTGTATTAAAATGGATATTTGTTCTTAGCGATTAGTAAGATCACTTAGGTGGAACTACAAAGTACTGTTTCAATCCCTTACTCCATTTAGCATACTCTATTCTTCATAACTATTTCCAGACCCTCTTGTTCATTTATTTATCTCTTTGTGTTGACAGAATAGTTTTGATTCGGAGAAACAACTGGTCTCACACAGCAATAATGGTTGTAAACTCTACAGCATTCAGTTGATACCTTCTTTATGTAGCGGGCTCCTATGTAATCTTCCAATACAAACAAAATTCAAGTACCTTGAGGAAAAAAAGAAATCCTTGCCCTAAAAAAACCCATGAAGTGGGGGGAAGGGAATCATATACTACAGTATATTCTAGAAAATAGGATAGCTGAATACCAAATATTGTTCTCAGTTTGATGTCAGTGGCCTCAAAAGGGAATGCATGGGTTACTGTTCCAATGGCATACCTGGCTTTTGGTTCTTACAGGATGAGGAGCCCTATTCTAACAATCTGGTTGGGTTATCAACGTTAGCAGATGGGGTAATGGACTCCCATAGTGAATCTCTCAGACAACTTTTTCAACAGCTAAGGTTATTTAGATTGGTTATACATTTATTAAGAACAAAAGGCCAGATAAATAATAATAATTCTTGCATTTGATATAGCGCCTTATCACGTCTTCGAGACGTCTCAAAGCGCTTCACAGAATATATTGTAAAGTGAATTGACTATATTTTTTGTGGGCGAAATAGACCTTGTTTAGGGAAGGGAATATATACTGAATGGCAATTTTTTCACGAAGCAGAGGGATTTGGGGGTGCATAATAATAATAATCCTTGCGTTTGATGTAGCGTCTTATCATGTCGTTGAGACATCTCAAAGTACTTCACAGAATATATTGTAAACTGTGTATTTTGTGGGAGAAATGGAGCAGCCAATTGTGCACAGCAGTATCTCGCAAACAATCATGGGATTGAGTGTCCAAATTTTTATTAATTTATTTATTTTGAGGAATTATTACCCCCGGAAAGCAATCCACCAATCGACTAACAACTGGGTTTGTACCTGCTGCTAGATAAACAGAAGCGTGTGGAGTAAGGAAACCTGCCTAAGGGAATCAAACCTGATTCATCTCGCTTGTGAGGCGAGCGCGCCAACCACTATGCTACGGGCTTCCACATTTATTTCTTGAATATAATAATCCTCGCATTTGAATCCTTGAATTGCAAGTGAATCCCTGCATAAGTCTTGCCCACAAAACATAGTCAACTCACTTTACTGTATATTCTGTGAAGGGGTTTGAGACGTCTTGAAGATGTGATAAGGCGCTATATCAAATGCAAGGGTTATTATTATTAATTCCGTGAAAGAGGCAGCAAAAGTGGTAAGGGCTATGAATAAAGCTAATGGTATTCTGGGCTTTATACATAGAGGCATGGAGTAAAGTAAAGCAATAATGCTAAGTTTGTACAAATCATTGGTTACATTGCAACAGGAATACAGTTGGGGGCACCTCATATTAAGAAGAATGTTAAGGCCTTGGGGAGATGCAGAGGAGGTTTATGAGAATGATAGTAGGGATAAAGGGTGTTAGTTAATAGGAGAGATTGGAAACATTGAGTCTGGTTTCATTGAAAGTTGAGATGGGATCCTGAAAAAGATGTACAAAATTATGAGGGGTTTTGACAGGGTGAATAGGGAGAAACTATTTCCACTGTTATGGGAATCAGTAATACTTGACATAGATTTAAGCCAGCCACAAGAAGAATAAAAGGAGAGCCAGGACATTTTTTTTCAATCAGAGTTTTGGGTGTTTTTTGGTGTGCTCTGACAGATGGTAGATGCAGAGTCTATTGTGGGTTTCAAGAGGGAAGTAGACAGCTTATATGACATTAGAGGCTTGAAGGTGTATAGGGATAGGGCAGGGTAGGGGGAGTGAATGTGCAGCTGGTGCAAACTCAATGGCCCGAATGACCACCTTCTGTGCTGCAAATTTCTATGGTTCTATGAAATAATGGGTCACTAAGTCCACTTGCTGGCACAGTTCATGAACTGTCAGTATATGTGCCACCTAGCTATAAATAATGTTTAGCACCACTTTCTTTACAGTTGGCCAAAAATTATGCTTTTTTTGTCCACCTAAAATGTAACTGCTCCAGTTGAGTTGTTGGAACATGATCTTTTTATTTTACATGTAATATGTGTAATAATATGTGTAGACTTAAAGAATTGGTTGCTGATTATCATTCTTGTGGGTACGTTTTGCTTTAACTCTTGTGTGTTTTTATCTGATTTAATTTGATGTAGAGAAGTGCTGGTGACTCTGAATTGTTGAAAAAAAAGGAAGAATATAGGAGAAAACTTAATGAGCTTGAAGATATGCTAAACCAGAGCAAGCAACTTCAATCAGAGATAGAAAATCTTTCTGAAAAAATTAAGCAAAGGTATTAAAAAACAAATTACCTATTATTCACCCATAATAATTCATGAAGCCTTATCCATAGTGTTTTAAATTCTAAGTATAATTTTCTTATTGAAGTCAGGACATGAAAGATAAAGATGATAAAGAAATTCACGACAAACAAACAAGTATTCAGAACAACAATGAACAAAGAAATCATCTGAGGGAACAGCTCACCCAAGTGGCGAGGCTTCACAATAAAGTCAAGATAAAAATGGAGCAAACAAAAGTAGAAATAAAGATGCAGGAACAGCGTTCAAAGGTTAGTGAATGCATTGAATGGGAAGTATTTAAACAGGACACAAAAAGCATTAATTTCTCATTTCTTTGCCAGATACAGGCTAACTCTGTTATAAAGCAGTGTCTTGTAGACCAAGAGTGGTTCTTTTCCAACTTCCAGCTAGTCAACCAGAACTGCATATAAGTGTTTCGGGTGATACAAGTATTTGCGTCTGACCAGCCAGCTTCCTGCAATCCGCAATCACATCTGACAACTGGAAGTAGGATTGCTGGACTTTCTTTTGTTGACTATTATAACACGGGGTCCAATTTTATGGACCAGAGCCAATGGAGTCACCCTGCATTATTCTAAAATAACTTTGAAAGTAAAATGTTAAATTCAAAAAGCCATTATAGAAGTTAAGAATCCTAAAATGGGGTCCCTGAAATAATAAAAGAGGTAGCCTAATGGACTGTGAGAAGCCATTCTCCCAAAGCATTAACCCTAAGTGCTTAGATTTTGAAAGTGGATGGGAGAAGCTATGAGCTATGAGGTTTTTAAAGAAGATTTAGGTTTGCAGAATTAATAGAAAAGTTGTTAATTGGATTCAGTTGCCTATTTATGTAATTTAAAGTATGTAATGATGAAAAAGGACCTCTCTAGGAGGCACTGATTTGTAATTCTTTAAGATATCTTCTTTAGCCCCTGCTGTTCCCTCTTGCTGTAGAGTCATGAGGATGAGCTAAGGGTTATTATAAGGTGGAGTCCTGTAGCTCAGTGGTTAGAGCACCCGACTCGCAAGCGAGAGACCTGGGTTCGATTCCCAGCAGGGTGAAATGGTGGGCAAGTTTCCTTACTCCACAAGTGTCTGTTTACCTAGCAGTAAATTAGGAGCCTGGTTGTTAGTCAATTGGCGGATCACTTTTCCGGGATAATAATTCCTTCAAAAAAAATTACGTCGGTCACTTCAATCCATGACTGTTTGTGGAATACTGCTGTGCCCAATTGGCTGCCACGTTTCGTCCACAGAATATACAGTCAATTCATTTTACAGTATATTCTGTGAATCGCTTTGAGACGTCTCGAAGACATGTTAAGGCGCTACATGAAATGCAAGTATTATTATTAATAACACACTGAAATGGTAAGAAAACAGTAAATCTAGACCCAGGTGGAATTTCTTTCCAGATACTCGTGGGAAAAGTTGTATGGACACTTTATAAAGAGCATCCAACCAGCAATCCATCATCACTCAAATGTATTTTCTTAGCACTTAAGGAATTTAGCAAATTGTTATAATCTTAATCGTCTCATCTTAATTTTGAAGCAGTTTTTCTGTAATTATTAAAAGCATTTGCAGAAAACTTCAAAATTAAAATTGTAAGAACTTGCCAAATTCTAGATGCTCCAAGATGCTAAGTAAATAGACAAAATTTAGTTTTAGGTGGCATTTCAGCCCCATGTTCTCTTCTAGTGCAGTGGCATATGTATGATGCTTTTCCATTTTCAAGAAAGCATGCAAAACAAGTAATCCCACTATCTATTCATGCTTGAGGCTTGTTAATTTCAAATGTATAACTTCCACCTCTGTACTGGTAGATCTTTGTTATAATCGGTGATTGCTGTTTTCACTGGCATGAATCTCATCTCTAATTCTGATGCATATTTATTCCACAGATCCACATAGAGAACTTGAAGAGAAAAATTAGAGAAGAAATAGGAGTACGAATAAAGCTTCAGGTAAAGGGTCCATGTTGTCCTACTTTGCTGGAGATGATATTGACGAAACAAAGTTAGAGACTCTTCAACCATTTAGAATCTTAATACCTAAAATTCCTTGTATTCTTAGCCTGTAAATCCAATTTGTATTCAAATTTAAGATGTCACAAAACTATGAAAAATTCTTAATTTTAATCTTAATTTGGAAGGTAGTTTTCCACATTTCTGCTTAAAAGAATGGCTTCTATATTAATACTGAAATAATGAATTTGCCACAATTTTGTATAAACTTAAATTTGAAGACAAATTGAACGTGCATGGTATGAGTAGGAGCTGAGTTAGAATTTCAGTCCTGTAGATTGCTTGTAGGAAAGAAAGAAACCATTCGGATCATAGTGCCTTTGCTTACCCCACTCTCGTCACTGCTTCATTTTACCCATAACCTTAAATATAATTTTTCTCTCAAGTATTCATTCACTTCCTTTTTTAGATGCTGTTAAGGACTAAAAATTCCCTTTTAAGCATTACGTTATTGCCACCTGCCATGTTATTTATATATATATGTCACATAAAATGTCATATTATGAGTATCTTTCAAGTGTGTTGTGGTAAGTCTGGTGAATGGCATGGTTTGTCTTGAAGTTCAAATGATTAGAAATAATCTTTTAAAATGCTTTAAATTGTTCTTTGGTGTTTCTGTATTTTCCAAATGTAGGCCAAAGTGCTGTTAGATAATGCAGAACTGGACGAATTTCAAAACAATGCCAATATGAAGAGCGCTACTGTTATGAAGGGTATTAAACAAGCAGAAAAAATTGTTGCAGCAGCTGAATCCAAGTTTAAAAAAATATCAGATGAACATGAGAAATTGCATGCGGTAAGTTTCTTACAAATTTGTAGGTAGTACATAATTGGTGTCTTACAATACAATACATTTGTAAGGCACCTTTCATATCGGGAGGACGTTCCAAACAGTCAGGGATTAGGACCCGAGCGGGGGTGGGGGGCAGGTATCAGGAAGGGTGGAGGGCAGTGAGGGTGGCCGAAGGCACGGTCAAAGAGGAGTATCTTGAGGCGTGCCTTGAAGGAGACAAGGGAGGGAGCGAGACAAAGGGAATGTGAGATGGAGTTCCTGAGGGTGGGGGCAGACAAACTGAAGGCCAACCGCGGGCAGTCTGGGTGGGGGTGACATAGAGCAGGGCCTGCTGAATGGAGGGAGCGGACAGGTTGATAAGAAGTTAGCAGGTCAGAGAGGTAGGAAGGGGCAAGGCCATGGAGCGCCTTGAAGGTGAGGATGAGAATTTTTAATTCTATCCTCTGAGGGATGGGAAGCCAGTGGAGCCGGGTGAGGGTGGGTATGATGGTGTCATGGAGCTTCTGCAGCTTGTGGAGAGAAGAGTGGGGAAGACTACAGCAGGGCGTTGACATAATTGAGCCTGGATGTAATGAAGGCATGTATGAGGGTTTTGGCAGCCTGAGGGGTGAGGCAGTGACGGAGTCAGGCAATGTTGCGGAGGTGGGGAAAGCCAGAGCGAATCATAGTACAAATGTGGAGGCGAAAGGACAGTTGAGATGTCTAGGGTGTTGACTGGCTCGGTGAGGTGGAGCGTGCATCCGTGGATGCTGATGCTGAGGTGTGGAGGCGCGGGCGCGAGCCAATCAGGAGGGCCGCGGTCTTGCTGACGTTCAACTGTAAAAAGTTGGGTCTCATCCAGGACTTGTTGTCTGACAGACATTCTGTCAGGACTGCAGTGGTCCTGGGGTAGAGGGTGGAGACAGAGAGATAGAGTTGTGTGTCATCAGCATACATGTGAAAGTTGACCCCATGTCTGCGGATGATGTCACCAAGAGGGAGCATGTACAGGTTGATGAGGAGAGGACAGAACCATGAGGAACATTGCACGAGTTGGTGCGGGGTCTAGATGAGAAGCCGTTTGTGGAGCCAAAGTGGAGCCAGTGTGAGAGATAGGTTCTGAACCATCCAAGGACAGAACCGTTTCTAAAACCGTTCCAATGACTGGAAAAGCCATATTTGTGTTTGAGCAGCTCTATATTCATGAATTTGGTCTGGTCTGGAAATTGTCTGGAATCTGATTCTGGTGAAAAATATGGTATTGATGAAATGCTGCTAAAAACTCACTGGAATTCTGATCTTCGAGGGTTGGCTCTGGATCAACTTCCCAGTTGATTTTTTGGGGGTCAGCCAGGTATCTGATATATGCGGAAACTCATCACCATGCTTAGGAGTATCCAAATGAAACTGAGAATTCCATTCATACTTACCTATTTCCGGAAAGTATTAGGTGCAGGTTGGCAAGAGCCAAGGCTTGGGGACCCTAGATGGTGTGTTGGGGTACTGCTGGAATCTTACCAGCTAAAACCGCATAGTTGGCAATTAATATTGCTGTCTGGCAAGCTTTCCCACTGCTTGTCCAGCTAGGACCACCCTACCCATTAGGGCTTTGGCTCGCGGGGTTAACAGGAGCTGAGTGGGATGACTGCCTGCCCCCAGTGACTGATCTGCTCTTCCAGGTCATGCTGATATGCCAGGCTGGTTTAGCTGTCATCAGCAGTGCTATGCAATACTGTGGATTTGCCTGGCTCAGGAACAGGACTGCTGAGCCCGCCCCGGAGGGCTGGCTCGATTCCGACATTCCGTTGCCAAGCGTATCACCTTGGAGCCAGTTCAGCTCCAAGGAGACCCCCACTTACTCCTCTGTTGATCCAAAGCATAATTTCCATTTAAATAAATGCAGCTGCTCCTGGACAAATGTGCTGCTTCCATATAGCTGATTTTAACCAAAGATTGCTGGAAAATAGGAGATTAAAATTGTGTGTCTCACTGCTGCCCAAAATTGAGTAACTTACACTGCAGATAATAAAATGTAGTTACAACTATATTATTTTCATACAGTAGTACTTTGAACAGAAAGTGTTCATCATAGTTTCCTTGCCTTTTTTTAAAAAAATAATGTCGCACGTGCAACGATTCCAAATGATAAACGTTGAACTGAAGCTTACAAGTGAAATTGGACATTTTAAAAAAAATTGGGTGGGACAACCTAAACATTTTGGAAAAAAGCAGTTTTTGATATGCAAAACCAAACCTAGAAGCATTTAGTGGGCGTTCTGTCAAGTCAAGATGGATTCAATGTGTCATTGCTTTCCTGAGATGCGAAATATTATGACAGTGTATTTATAGCCAGTACCGCTGTATTAATGCACTGAACTACAGCAGCTCAATGTTCATAGCAGATAGCATTTTAAAACAACAGTTTGATGTCAATGAAGGATGCTGATAGCCCTCCAATATGGCAAGAAAAACTGAAACTGCGACTGTTATCATTCCTCACTTTGAGACTTGGAAGGTGTGGTAAAAGTCATGTATCATAGTGCATACTCGTACATCTTAGATTTGTTAAAAGTGACAGTACTGCTTTTCGGCAACCTGTAGTGATTGGAGAATTAAAAAATAAAGTGGATACATTATTAAGCTCTGTCAAAAGAAGCAAATTGTTACAGACAATGACATTCAGTAAAACCTGCATACGTTTTATCTTTATAAATCATATAATTGCCTAAGTACATTAACCTGATTCCCATTCAGTTTCCTATCAAAACCACATATACTTTTTCCAGGACGCATATTAATTACCTCCTAACTCGTATAGCCACTCTCTCTATCCTCTATTACTCCCACATTTACTGGCTGCCTTGAATCACGGGAAATGACTGGAATCTCCCATGACTTGGGGCAATAGAAAAATGCAGCCGCAATTTTTCTGTGGAATCCACTGTAAGCAGCCCCCTCCGCTGTAAATCTGTAAAAATAATTAAGTTTCCTCAGTGCCTGGGCATCTTTGTGCTGCTGCCGGCTGTTTACTTGGCATTACTATGGGCGGAGTGGCTCCGGATGCACTTGTGCGATGCGAGCGTAAATGGGCTTCTAAATCTATGTCTCCTCTATATGTGTGTCTCTCTAGATTTGTGTTTATGAGTGTCTCTGTGTGAATGTGTCTGTGTCTCTCTCCCCTCTGTATCTGTGTGCATTTGTGAGTGTATGTCTCTGTCTGTGAGTGTTTGTCTCTGTGTCTACGAGTGTGAGTCTGTGTATGTCTCTCTCTCTCTCAGCATGTGTGTCTGTGTATGTTTGTGTCTCTGTGAGCAGGTATCTGTGAGTCTGTGTGCGATGGCGGGTCCCGAGAGGCAGGAGTTAGTGACCTCCTTGTGTATCCCCCGTGCGCACCTCCCACCGAGTGGGCCACCCAGATTTTGTTGAAGAATAATTTTTTTTGCAACAATCTAACATGTGTTATTTCTTCAGGTCTATTTTTTTTAATCAATGAAGTCGAAAAATATAGGTTGGCAGTAAAATGTACCTCAATCTACTCCCCGCAATTTTCTGCAAAATTTATCAAATTTCCTCACAATTTTTGGCAAATATTTCTGCAATTTTCTATTGGCCCTGCTCATAAACTGCCACCAAATTAAACTTTAATTATTTAGATTATGTGTAAGTATTAAAAATGGTTGTGCTTAGATTTATAATCCTTTGGGATAGTACTTACCAAAAATATAAAATGAAATCTATATTCAAAAGACTGACATTTCTTTCTTCTGTGATTTTTTTGTAGGACTATGTGTCAATTAGCAGTACATACAATAAACTCCAAAAAAGACACCAATTCATAAAAGAACATCTGGGGAAACGAAGGGATCGTTTGCAAGCACAACTGACAGATGATTCGGTAAGCTTGTGCAGTAAAACTGCAAATACATGCCTGCCACTTGCCACACTGATCAGCAGATGGCATCATTTTAAGAATGATATCTACAAGTTAGGTTACAAAACTTTATGCAATCATTCAGTTGACTATAAATAATATTTTTTCTTTGCATATTGTTGTGAATATAAATAAAATATAAATGTTGTAGAATTTCAATATTTGTCTGTTAATTTGAAGCATAAATTGAATAAATATAAACAAATTGGATGTTTATTGAGGAAAAAACTATCAGTGAATGTCACACCTATGCGAGAGAGAAAGGGTGCAGGATCCCATATGGTGGGTCTCCAGGGTGGAAGGGGCAGAGGTCAAAAACCTCATCCACTCACGTCTCCACTCACTGTAGAAGTGCATTGCTTGTACATCACGAAACACCAACTTGCAAAGGTGTCTTGCCTTGCTTCATTTCTCCCTTGTTTAGCATTCTACCAAATGGAATCCCATCATCTAACTTACCCTTTGATGTGCTGCCATCAGTGTGCAGCTGCATTGCTTGCTGCAGAATTGTAATTTCATGTGGATTCTGAGGCTTTTGGGAGGTGGAGGATTCTGCCATTGTTCTCCTAAGTCATCCTCTTCTTGTTTCTCCTCTGCTATATATTCTTCATTTCCTCCTCCTTTTCCTTCTCTGGAGGAATAACGCTGCTGATGTTCTCTTCATGTATGTTACTGTTGCAGAGGTCCGCAAACTGCTTGTAGTGGCTGTGAGTCTGAAAGGTAGAAATGAGAAGTTCCATTAAATAAATAAATAAACAAACAAACAAACAAACAAACAAACAATCCTTTCCATTTAACGTAGATACTTTTATGTCAGGATAATGTTTTAAAGTGCTTCAGGGGATTTACTGTAAAGTGCAGTGACTGTGTACTATGAAGGTGAATGTGTATATTTCAGGGTACCTCCAGATTAACAATCCAGATGTATCCTATTGAATTATAGAATATTACAACAACAACAAGATTACACTTGTATAGCGCCTTTCACGTCGGGAGGATGTCCCAAGGCACTGGTAGGAGGAGAGCAGAGAAGGAGGACATTCGGCCTATCATGCCTGTGCCGGCTCTTTGGAAGAGCTACACAATCAGTCCCACTCCCCCGCTCTTTCCTCATACCCCTTTGAAGGGTATGGGGAAAGTTATTATGGAAGATTATTTGAAGGTTATTATGGAAGTAAAACAAAGGCACAACTTTCATAATTACACATAAGGACCATTAAAGCCAGTGTTTATTCCGATTTTTTTGTGGGTGGTGCGTGAGGCTCTATACTTTCTCTCGTAGCTCTGTGGTTAGAGCAATTGCCTCACAAGTGAGAGACCTGGATTCGATTCCCGGCAGGACAAAACGTTGGGCAAGTTTCCTTACCTCACAAACCTCTGTTTATCTAGCAGTAAATTAGGAACTCAGTTGTTAGTTGATTGGTGGATCGTTTTTCCGGGGGTAATAATTTCTTTAAAAAAATTGGTCACTCAATCCATGCCTGTTTGTGGGGCACTGCTGTGCGCAATTGGCTGCTGCATTTCACCCACAAAATATACAGTCAATTCATTTTACAGTATATTCTGTGAAGCGCTTTGAGAAGTCTCGAAGACATGATAAGGCGCCACTTCAAATGCAAGGCTTATTATAATTGATAAAATTTCTGAGATGAAAATTTAACAAAACAAAGGGTAAACTCAATGAAAATCAGATCTAGAAATTACCTCTGCCTCTGGTGATATCATCCGTAGACATGGGGTGCACTTATATGAATGGCACCCAACATTCTCTGCCTTTACCCGATTCCAGGACCCCCACTGTAATGAACGATTGCCTGTCAGACATCAAGTCCTGGATAAGTTCTAACTTTCTAGAACTCCTGCTTGGCTCCTATCAGCATTTTCGACCTTAGTTGCTGACTATGTTGACCTGCGTGGATGCTCACTCCATCTCACAGAGTCAGTACATAACCTCAATGACTTGTGCGACTCCATAATATCACCTGCTTCTGCTTTTACCTCTCACCCAGGAAGATCCTCATGCCCTCCTTCAACATGTCCAAACTGAATTATTCCAATGCATTGCTCTCTGGACTCCCAAGTTTCTCTGACACAAGTTGCAGAATTGCAGGCTCTGAACCCATCACTCCCTTCCCTACTATTTCTCCATCCTCCAGCAAATTGAATTCAAGATCCTTGAACTCCCTTTCAAATCCCTCTGTGGCCATGCCCCACTCTATCTCTGCAACTCTAACTGTGGAGTCCTGTAGCTCAGTGGTTAGAGCACTCGCTTTGCAAGCGAGAGACCTGAGTTCAATTCCAGGCAGGGCGAAACCTTGGGCAAGTTTCCTTAATCCACACGCCTAATAATAATCCCTTTAAAAACAAAAACAATAATAAATTGTTCATTTTCAATCGACGACTGTTTGTGGGACATTGCTGTGCGCAATTGGTTGCCGCGTTCGCCCACAAATATACAGTCAATTCACTTTACAGTATGTTCTGTGAAGCGCTTTGGGGCGTCCTCCCGACGTGAAAAGCGCTATATCAAATGCAAGGATTATTATTATTATTATTAACTGCTTTCTTTCCACTCACCTAGCACTCATCTGCTTCATGTCACTCACTCAATCGACTTCACTATTGGGGAAGTGAACTCCTAGTCATTCTGCCCCTGCTCTCTGGATCTCCATACCAGACTCACTCCACCTGGCTCCGTCCATCCCCTCTTTCAAATCTTGCTTCAAGACTTATATTTCCAACTGGTCACATATTTCTTTCCATTCCCCTCAGCTCCCTCAGCTCAGCTAAGTTTTCCAGTGTGAGCGTTTTGAGATGTCTTCCCAACATGAAACAAATATAAATGTTGTTGTTGAGCTGTGTAAATTAAATTAGGAGCAGGTGAAGGGCCATAGGAGAAGGTACCTGCTGAAAGGCAGGTGAATTCTGTAAGGCTACAGATTATGATTGTATATCTCTCAGGGCAAAATGATCACAGAGTAAATTAAATAATCCATAACTGAGCTAATATAATGTACAACAACAACTTGCATTTATACAGTGCCCTTCACGCAGATAGCGTCCTGGAGAACTTGCCAGTAACCGCACCATAGCACCATCTTCCCTGATTTGCAATTTCCAACACAATCTATCAACATGTAGTTTTACATTGCATATGTGACAAATTGATAGAAGTTTATGTATATCCTCCAAACTGGGTATTTACTTATCAAATTTTGGGGAAAGCACCGAGTAGCTGACCAGTGAGAGAGTGAAGCCTGTTGCTGTATAAGTTGTTGCTCTGTTGTACAATGGGTTCTTAGTGCCTGTTCACACAATGTACGATTTACAACATTTTGTGAATCCAGCAACTGTATACAATTCCCATCACCTTTGCACTTTTTTTCTCAGTCTTTTTTAGAAACACATAAAACTAATAATACTTTTTAACAAAACATTCATCACCTGCGGAATGGTTCAACCTAAGAAACTTTGAATGATGTTTACATTTTCCAGTGGAAGATGAAAAACAGGTCATTACAAATAAATTCAATGCAGTTGTGTCCTTCATAGTCTTAGGGGAGTGGTGCTAACCATTGAGGATACCCTAAGACTTCTGCCACCATTTGGCACAGCTCTATATTGGCTTCACATGAAAGTTTCAGCTTCCCAAGATTATTAGTGAGATCCAGATAGGAGAATCTGTAGTCTTACTTCAGCAGGTACTCTTTCCTGTGGAGTACCCTTCACCCGTAGACCTGTTTCCCCTTCCTTCAGGTACTGCAACACAATGATGTCAGGCAAAACTATTCCAACAACAACAATTTGCACTTGTATCGTGCCCTGCATGCAGAGTAGCGTCTCAGAGCGCTTAACAGTGGCGGAGGGGAGGTGACTGTAAGCACGGTTGAAAAGGAAGGTTTTCAGGCGGGACTTTTAAAAAAGGGGAGAGAGGGCGTAAGGTGGATGGATTGAGGGAGAGTGTTCCAGAGTTTCAAGAGGTAGTGGCTGAAAGCACGACCTCCAATGGTGGAGTGGAGGGCGTGAGGGACAAGCAGGAGGCCGATGCCAGTTGAGCGGAGTCGTCTGATGGTGGATTGGATAGTGAGGAGTTCAGAGAGGTAGGGAGGTGCCATGGAGTAAATGGATTTGAACACGAGTATGAAGATCTTGGAAGTCGATCCATTTGGTGATGGGGAGCCAGTGGAGCCTGGCCAGAACTGGTGAGATGTGGGTACGGAGTTTGGTCCGGGTAAGTATATGGGCAGCATGTTCTGAATGAGCTGAATTTTTTGAATAGTGGAGCTGGAAAGACCGGCAAGATGTGTGTTTGAATACACCAGGCAGAAGGTGACAAACACTTTATTAAGGTTTTCGGCTGCATTTGGGGTAAGATACGGTCGAATGCAGCAATATGGCGGAGGTGGAGGAAGGCGGTAGTTCAGTGAGTCTGAGGGAGAGCCCAGGAACTAATGAAACTCAAGTGAAACTAGTTACGGAAGCTACAGCACGCTGTGAGTCTACTGATTATTGCCTGTTCTCACCAAGCATGGAAATTGTGGACAGTGATGATCTTAAATGGCTACCAAATAACAATTAACTGACAGTCTCATTTTTTGGGGGGCATTGCAGTCAGACTATTGTTGGTTTAAGCCCAATGCCAGGACTTGAGGGATCTTGATAGAGTTTAATGAATTGCTGACTGAGGAACCAATGAGTCACTGCAAATGGCTTTGACTTCTCAACCCATCTTGGCACTAATGTAAAGAGTGACCTGTATAAATCATGAATATGACTTCCATTCACTTTTGCAAACACTGAAGCATTCTGGTATTGAGTGAATCTGTTGGTTTACTAAACCCCTCCCTCATAGCAATGGATGAATAAAGTAATATAATTTATGGCATCATAGGCTATTTTTTAAAAAAGCGTAATCCTGAAGATGCTTTTGCTCCCGTCAGTAAAATTTCCACATGAATAATGACTGCAAAAAATCAGAGTTTCAGCAGTACAATTGGCTGACAGCGGTTTCCAAGCACTTTGTTGGAAAAGCAGTTAATTGATGGTTGAAGCCAATTAAGTTGGGAAATCTACAACTTCCTCTGTCTCTGAGTCTTATCTAACATTGGAGTACAGTATTTAGTCATGGTCTGAAAAATTAAGTCTACGAACTGTGGGTAAAGTGGTGCAACTTTGGCAGAGTGATCAAAACTTCTGTATTGGCATGTGCTGCACATAGCTTCTTTTGAATTATCTGAGAAAGCGAGGAAGCTCAAGAGTAACAAGCGGAGGACTAGCAGGCGCAGACTGTCCTTTGTGGATTTGAGTGATCGTAGCAGTAAATTTATGGATTAATGATGGGAATAATGATGTTAATTCCATCTGAGTCCCCTGATGCACTCCCTCCCTCTCTATGTTCAAAGCCCGCCTCAAACGTAACTCTTTCATTGTGCTTTGGTCATATTTTCCCTCCCCATCCTCTTCAGCTCCTACTTTCCAGCTCGGGTGCCCAACCAGCAGTGTGAAGCACTTTGGGATGCCCTTCCAGTGTGAAAGATGCTGTATAAATATACCTTATATTGTATTCCCATCACAATTCAGTAAGCAGTGTTGACTGCCAAAATATAGGTGATATAAAATGTTAAGACTTTTTTCCAAAATATTCTACATGCATACACACAAAAATATTAAAATTTCATACAAAATGTGTTTCATATAAACATACAAAAGTATTAAAATCATGATTTTATAGTGCCCTCCATGTCCTAAAAGTGTTAAAATCTCTATCTATATATTATATATAGACATTTTAATACTTTTGTATGTTTCTTCAGTAAAAATAGCAAAATAAAGGACTGATCCACCAAAGCTTACTCAATGGCCTAATGCTTTATTATATTTGTTTTTTATTTCCTTCAGCCAACTTGCCCCCACTTTCTCGAACTCTCCCTAAATCCCTCCACCCACAGTCTCTCTCTCTCGGCTTTCAGAAGCCTTCCGAAAGCTTCTCTTTCACTGCCCCTGGTGACCGCTCTCCTATCCCCTTATCTTCCACCCTGCTCAGGTTCCACCACTCCATCTCTGTGAAGTGCCTTGAGACAATCCTGCATGAATGCCACCACATAGCACCAGTTGTTGTAATACACAAAACAAGAACAAACAGATCAACAATTTAAAAGTTAGTTAAAAAGAAGTATTTTCTCCCTTTATAAAATTAAATGGTATTTCCTGTACTTTCTTCAAGCCATTCCTGAGATATCAGACTGTGAGCTCTGACACTTTAACTAGTTGTTGGGAATGTAAGAGTTCTCTGAGTTTTCTTAATGTGTGTGCTGAACAGAATAATTTTTGCTCATTGCAGCTCTGTGACATGTGGACTTGTGAGCAATAGCTTCTGTGATACTTCTGGACTGTAGAAAGAAATTTAAAAAAACTCGGAAATTTGTTAATGTGAAATCTGTTGCTGCATATAGGGCAACACTTTATATCAATGGTATTCAATGTCAGCGTCATTCCTTGAGTTTCATTCATAGTGCAGATGGCAGCGTAACATTAAAACGTTACTTGACCATAAGTTACACTTTCAACTCTAGAGCTGTAGCCAATGAACACTAAAATGCATTACTAATCGTTTCAGGCAGGGCGAAACCTTGGGTAAGTTTCCTTACTCCACACGCCTAATAATAATCCCTCCAAAAAACAAAACAATAATAAATTGGTCATTTTCAATCCAAGACTGTTTGTGGGACACTGCTGTACACAATTGGCTGCCGCATTTCGCCCACAAATATACAGTCAATTCACTTTACAGCATATTCTGTGAAGCACTTTGAGACATCTAGAAGACATGAAAAGCGCTATATCAAATGCAAGGATTATTATTATTAATTTCTGGAGCTGAAAGGTCTCCTGTCAAAGGATATAAAGAGTCACAGATAGAATTAATTCAGGAAGACATAGCTAAGTCCCCAGTGGACATTGCCCACAAATTACAAAACAGCCTTGTGCTGACATCTAATTAATCAATAGATTGCTTACTATAACTGTACTGGGAGAATGCTTTTTGGTCCATGTGACTTAAGGAGTTCTAACATTGGTCATTTTGTACTACAGTTTGGGGCACAAACTGTGGGACAATCATCATTTAACAGCATGAAAAAGGGAATTTATGTGTATATTTCAAAGATCTGTCTTCAGTTATGTTCTTCACTAAAGATTCCATGGTTTGAAGGTTTTGGGCATTGAGATTTCAGGCTGTGATTCTGGGATGCGAGTTTCAGGGGTGTAGTACTTTAGGTAGTGTAGTACTTTCGCCCACAAACTATACAGTCAATTCACTTTATAGTGTATTCTGTGAAGCGCTTCGAGACATCTTGAACCATAATAAGGCATTATATCAAATGCAAGGATTATTATATTATTATTACTGTAAGAAGTGGTGGGACAAGGGGTTGATTTCCCATTCTGCTTGGATCCCAGTCTTACAGGATTGCTGGAGAGTGGGCAAGGGCAACAATGCAGAACTAGGTTAACTGATAAGTGGAGTGAAATCTACGATGGAGGTAATTCTATGTAGCCTGTGTAAGAAGAAGCTTGATGATCCAAATGATCGTTTGTCAGTTTATCCCACTTATGTTCTTAAGCAGTAGACAAAACTTCTGTGTTTTCTGATATTGGATCCTAAACTAAGGAATATTATTTATTTATAGCGCTGTAATATTAATGCTGATCATTTTTTATTGCTCTACCGCAGGAAAAACTTATAAAGGTTTCCACAGAGCTTGACAATAGCCTCCGCAGAATTAAGTTTCTAGAGGAAAAATTGCAAGAATTACAACTGTTATCGGCTGAAATGAGCAAACAGTTAGGGGAAACCCACGGAATGGTTAAAAAACTAAAGTAAGTCTGCATGTTTATCTGATTCAGTGCATGATTTTATGTTATGGTTGTAATAATGTTTTGGTTTCCCACTGTCCAGGAAGGAAATGCTGAGAAATATATCAATGAAATTTAGAATATGGTACTACATCTGACATACTGTATAATGAGTACTGCCTCAACATTTTCTATTGCTGTAAGAGAATTTTGCATTTAATTTCTGGGAACTTGTAACTTAAATTTGCAGACAGAAGCGTGCATAAAGTAACAGTTGCATTTTTTTTCTTTTCATACTTACCAAGTGAAGAATGGGATCGTGTGAAAGCTTTTTTCCTTTTTCCATTTTACAGCTTGTTGTTGAAAGGGCATAATGTAACTCAGTCATTTAATGCACAACAATCATTTGTTCTCAGGGTTTCACTCAGGATTCCTATATAAATGCACTGTTCAGTGACTTGAAATTTAAGACTTCTTTATGGAAAAGAACCTAGTCTTGAACAGCAATATTTACTAAAACAGCTGGCTTTGGATGCTTTGAATCATCCTAGGAGTTCATCCAGGGCTAATGTGAGCTAACCCTGAGAAATTAAACTGCTATCTAAATCTTGCTGTAAGGTTTATGTGAGCTTTCTGCTTAACTAGATAAAGGATAGTAGTGCTTGAAAATGGGACACCAGACTGCCATTTCAGGCAGTTAGTACAGTACCAGCAGGTAAATTATAGCATAGTCTACAACAACTTGCATTTATTTAGCGCCCTTCACACGGGCTAGCATCCAGAGCACTTGACAGTGGCTGAGTCTGACCATTCTATAGCAGAGAAAGCTCACTCACTGGAAGCTTTTAATGTATTGAGATCAGTAATCTGTCATTTTCTTTATTAATTTATGATAAATGTCTGTTAGTGAACAGGACTTGAATCGGATGTTTACCTCATGTATGTTTTATTTTGTATTTTTTTTAATTTTGACTGGTTTTCCTCAACTGAAAACAATTGCAAAATATAAAATCATCAGAAAGTGTAAATACAATACAAAATTACATTTGTAAAGCGCCTTTCGTGTTGGGGGGACGTCCCAAGGCGCTGAACAGTTAGGGATTAGGATCCGAGCGGTGGGGAGTGGGGTTTGGGGAGGGTGGAGCCAAAGGCACTGTGGAAGAGGAGGATTTTGAGGTGTGCCTTGAAGGAGGCAAGGGAGGGAATTTGGAATGTAGGCAAAGGGAATGGAGTCCCAGAGGGTCGGGGCAGAGAGGCTGAAAGCCCGACCACCAATGGGCGGGGGAAATGGAGCCGGCCGGAGCCTGCTGAGTGGAGAGAACGGACAGGTTGATAAGGGGTTAGCAGGTCGGAGATGTGGGAAGGGGCAAAGCCATGGAGGGCCTTGAAGGTGAGGACGAGAATTTTGAACTTGCTCCTCTGAGGTATGGGAAGCCAGTGGAGCCAGGCGAGGGTGGGTGTGATGGGGTTACAGAGCTTGGTGCGGGAGAGGAATGAGCTGCAGAGTTCTGGGTGATCTGCAGTTTGTGGAGAGAAGTGTTGGGAAGGCCGACAAGCAGGGCATTGGCATAGTCGAGGCAAAAGAGTATATTTACATTTTTTTATTGTTCAGATCTTACTGACGTAATATTGCAATAAATATCTTGACATATTTTGAAGAATTGCATTTCTTATTGCAAATTTGTGACAACCATTTCTAAATTTAATTTTGTGGTAATGTGTCCCTCCTTTTAAGACGAAGGCTTGAGACAACTGAATTCAAGTTCATGAATGCTCAAAGCACCATCAGAAATTTGGAGAAAGAATTTGCACATACTAAAAAGAGGCAGAAGATTATAAATGAAGAATATCATAAACTGATGCTTCAAAGGAATGAGACACTCAAAGCAATGAAAGTAAGTGCAAATCAAACATTTATGATATTTATTAATAGTTTATACTGTTCATGCTTCTCTAATACTGTTGTGGTCTGAGATCATTGTGGATGCTTTACATTTCGATCACTTCTTATGTAACTTATGTAGATGTAGCTTCTCACCTACTTTCTCTGCACTCCCAAAAGGTTATCTTATGTAACCGCACTGTGCTTATTTGAGAAGGTGGTTTGCTGAAACACTGAATGTCTGCATGGATGATTCATGATTGGTCTACAATGAGAAATGCTTCACCAGTGCCTAAATTTCATGACGATTTTTCTGATCTGTCCAAGAAAGCAACTAAAAACAAGATCAAATTGCATTGTACCTGGCGTATTTCACATCGGGATGACGTCCCAAGGGGCTGGACAATGAAGTGTTTGTGCCTGAGCTGCGGGTTGGGATCAGAGAGGGGTGGAGGGCAAGGAGGTCGGATGAGGGAAGATGACTGAAGGCACGGTCGAAAACTATTGGAAGGTTGTATCAATCGCTGAGGTATAAAATTGGGCATCCCATTGTAGTCATCAAGCTTCCATAATGGTGAATATTATTATGTCAGATTGGTGAATTGAAGAGATCTAATATAATAAATTTGCTTTCAATATAAACAGTACTGCCTGAATATCAAAAATCAGAATAGTTTGATACACTTGGGCAGAATTGTGAATCAAGCTTTAAAGGGTTAAAAATATCATTCTTTAGTAAAGTAAGGAGTGGTGTATTCTTTCTGGACAGTGGCTGTGCCTATGGATACAAATAAGCAGTAAACAGGGCTCACTATAGATTAAACTGTGCTTGAGGAATAAATATCTTAATTTGCATCAGTTGAAAATCTCTGTTGCCTTATGGCATTTAGCTGTGGTGAGTGCCCTCCACAAACCTGATAATGCCAGTGTCAGTGAGCCATGTGAGTTGTCTCCACAGGCTGTAAATTGGATCCCCTCAGTGACCAGTTAATGTTTTATATTTCCAAACCATGTTTCACTTTTTCACAGCAACTAGGATTTGGAGAAACATAAAAATTTTAAAAAGATTTTTTTTAGCCATCATGTCGTGTCAATTTTTTATAGTTAAAAAGGGTTTATTTAAATCGGAAAGCCTGCTAGTATCAAACTCTGAATCTGAAAGATTACTAACAGCCACAGCTACTTGCTTGATGAGAGACTCACATTGCTTATCTAATGTGGAAACTCCATGTGGTATATAGTTTCATTAAACGGTGATCAAGAATACATTAGTTCAAAAGATGAAGAGGCAGTGGAGCTCAATCCGCCAGATATTTCTGTGCAACAACTTTAAATGGGTTATTGAAGTGCAAAAGATTCGAGAGTCAACAATTCTACAGTTGGAGAATACAAACGCCGGAATCCTGTACTTATAAAGAGTGTTATTCGCTTTTTATGTAAATGGATATATAACTGATTAAAGTACAACAATCCTGACATTGCACATTAAGTGCATCTTGAATATGAACTCAGTTACATTATGGGCAACCTAGACCAAATCTCTGAATAGAAGAGGGTATTTTTGTTCAGACTCTTTTATTAAGTGTTTAAAAAATGTGGTGCAGTTCCTACCCCCCTTCCCCACACACACACATCTTGTGCAATGGCAATAAAACAAAAACTAAATTGACATTTCTGATGTTATGTTGTCAGATCTTCAGATCAGACAAATATAACTTCTATTTTTTGTGGTATCAGAATCCTATATTGGCATTAGTCAGATTTAGGAAACTGAGTAGCTGAAATTTCCTCAGGATGGTAAAACAGGTAAAAGCCTATTTAATGGTATTTAGTGATCTCCTGCTAATGCCATTTTCATAATACCAGAAACTTAGAGATTACGTTTTACTCCATACACATTCAATATTGCACACTTCACACATTTCAATTACAATTGAATTGAAATACAGATTGTTTACCTATCTTTGAAGTGCAGGATTTACGTAATGAATAAACTAAATAAAAGAAATTTGGGAGAGAAACAAGTATGGGACAGACTAAAGATTTACTTCTAATGGGAAGTTCAATATTATTGGAATCTCTTGTTAGTGAAACTTATTTTGCAACAAACAGTTTTGAAATAAGTCAATTTTATTCCATTTCCTTCTACTGAAAGCCAAAGTGAATACATAGGCATACTTTATCATATTTACTTTCTGTTGTGATTTTTTAAATACTATTTGGAAGATGAACCCTATGGGCTTTGTCTTTTGTTTGCAGATTAGCATTGACGTATTGGTGATAGGTTAAATGAAGGTGACTGTGAAGATATGTGCAGGACTGTATGTTCCAACATAGTATTTTAGCAACATTGCATAATCAAGCCTAGGTACAAATGAAAGGGTTTTGACATCAATGGAAATGATATTTTTAGCGCCAATGCTTTGGATAGATTCTGGTTTGCTCATTGAATTATCACATTGATAATTGTATAAGTAATTGTGTGCAAAGCCTTGCAAAGATGATTATTCCATATGGTATTATATGGATCAAGTTTTGAATCCCCTAATGTATGTGCCATTTTGGCACATTTTCAAGTTGCTGCTGCTGCAATTTGGCACCAGACTGCAGTGAAAGAATGAATGGTCACATAGTGTGTTGTAAGTTAAACTTGAACAGTAACCTCTACAGTGAATTTGTCCATTTCTTCATCATAATCCATGCTAATTGAGGCACAAGGATTGCATGTTGGTTTGGTTTTTGATGTTTGAAAGTGCAAATAGGATAATAGCTCCACGTTAAGTTTAATCAAAGAAATATTAGAATACTATTGCAGAACTTATATAGTTCATTCACTTTTCTATGGATCTCCAGTCTCTTAGCAGTGAAAACACTAAAATCATGAACTGAAGTTAGTAACTATCTATTTTTTTGGATATCATCATGACATGTTATAATAATCCTTGTTTTGATACAGCGTCTTTCACTTTGGAAGGACATCTCAAAGCACCAGGAGAGACATTGTGAATTTGAGAGGTCATGTTGTAATTCTTTTTGTTTCAACTATCATAGAGAGTGGGCTCCCTTACATGTCATGTGTGTTTTGCATTATTTGTAAACAATGTATATTATGCACCAAGTGTTAAAACACCAAGGGATTTACAGACATCCTTAATTGTATTATTAAACAATGCAAATTATAGATTAATTATGTAATTAAAAACTGTCTTTTAATTAGTAGTTAATTACACAATAAAGGGCACCAGTAGTACATTTCCTATAAATGTTTTTACACATGATGCATAATCCACACGTGTTAGCACATGGTTTATATTTACATGATTGCATAATTGACTCATTGTTCATGTAACTAATTGCATGTTTCATAATCCAGTTACATGGCGACATTTGCGTTAGTCAGCTCAGCATGAATCCACTTGTGGGGTAGTTCTGTAAAGCAGTTGTGTGGTCATTCAAGTTGAGAGAAACTATGCTTCCTAGTGTTGTATATATTCTGCTTAATGTACCAGTTGTACTAAAACTGCAGCTTGTGCTAAGTAAACTTTATGCAAAGTCTGAAAAGTTCTTTGGCAAGTGGTGGATCATCCTTAATATGCTTAATATTAGTGAAATAAGTCTTGTCTGTTTACTAACATTAAAAACTAACTGGCATTTGGATACTGGTTAAAATAGTGTGTTTGTGCAGAGCTCTGTATTACTTTAACTTAGCTTTGAAGACTTGACAAAGCTGACATTGTAATTCGTAGTAGCCTCCTCAATCCTACTATAAACAAGCATATTGTATAACCTGCCTCTAGTGGACTTGAAACATCAGTTAAAGAAATAAAAGCACAAAGCTAAAGTCTCACTATCCATACAGCTCCTCCTTGAATTTCAGTGGTTTAAATTACAAATGTGCTGTTATAACAATATATTGTTTTTTATTAAGAGATTCAAAATAAACAAGGTGAAGGGAGAATGACATTCCATTACTTTTTTAGATTGATTATTTTCCCATTCTTTTCAGTAGTCTGAAAGCACATGGAGTTAACTGGGTTTCCATACTTATCACGTGTCTGATAAGTATGGAAACCCATCAACATAGAGTATCTAGAGCAGACAAAGATTTATGTATGCCACCTGTACATGGAAATTCCTGTATCTGGAACGGATTATGTAAACTCTCCCTGGAGCGACGTAGGGTACTTACCTAATTCAGGAGAGTATTAGGCACAGGTTGGCAAGAGCCAATGCTTGGGGATCCCAGCGTGTCTATTGGGGCAATGCTGGAGTTTAACCAGCTAAAACTCCAAAGCTTGCCATTGAAAATAGTGTCTGGTAAACGTTCCTGCTACTTTTTCAGGTTTGTCCACCTTACCCACTATGGAACTGGATGGGAAGAATCCCTGTCCCCAGTGACTTCCCTGTCCGCACTGACTTGTCTGCCCCTCCAAGTCCTCCCAATGAGCCAGTGGCCTGGAGTACTGTAGATCTGCCTGGCTCAGGAACTGGACTGCTGAGCCCACCAGAGAAGGTTGACTGGATTCTGACACTCTGTTGGCAAGCATGTCACCTTGGAGACAGTTCAGCTCTAATGAAACCCCAGGCAGATAGTTATCAAAAGTGCAAAGATTATTATTATTTGGTGATTTGAATCTGACGAGTGCAGATTTCAGGTGAATGGAAGGTACCAGTTATTCTCTGAAAAGCACAGCTCAGCATTAAATGTGTGAGAGGAATGCCATCATCTTCCTGGCACAGCTCAGACACACATCCCTACTATTGAGCGATGGTTCCAACAATTAGAGGCGCGGAGCTTGAACAGAAAGTTGTTTCCCCCTCTGCATACCAATCAAGGTTCATGAACCCAGACTCACGGTAACGCCTTCCAGCAGCTGTCGTCCCAAACCTCAGAGTTTGTTCATCAGTTATTCGATGGAATATTGACCTAGCCAGGTCTCACAGGTCCTTATATCCATAGACTGTAAAGTATTCTTTCACAGCTCATTGACTTTATCCATTGATTGGATGAGCGATACGGACTAGGAAGGAGCAGGTTTGATCCCTGTTCAGAGTTAACTGATTTTAGTTGGGGGTGGATTGGCTTCAACATCTCAGGCTTAGAATACTAAAAATCACCAAGTGTTTTCCAGCTTCCGATTGCAATCCAATGATCCCTGCTTGCAGGTGTATGAGGGTTGACTTTGGGCGAGCACAAGATTAGACTGGGCTATAATTTCTCTTTACAGACAAATAACCTTCTCATATAACCTTCTGATATTCACTGTCAGGGCTCACATATGAATAATGATTGGTTCCTTGAGTGAAATGCTATATGGAGCCCAGCACCATCACAGGATAAAAATGGGAAGTTGCTATGAATGCTTGGCTGCCACAAGTCAGTTATCGTATGGTAGCTTTTCTGACATCTCCTACTTAAAACCCTCAAACAGATGGAATAGAACCTTAGAGTAAGGGAAAGGAGTCAAATGCCTTCAAGAGAAGAGGTAGTTGTGTACTACTGTCAAGATCTGGTCAAGATTGCCAGACCCACGCAGGCTTTTATTTGCAGAAATAAGAACACGCAACTCCAATCTGCCTTGACTTATTGTGATGGACCTGCCTATCCCTACAGACAGTCCAATCAATCCGAGGAGAAACCCACCCACCTACCCCGTCAAACACCTGAAAGGATTTTTGTTTAAAAATTATTTTCTTTTGAAAGCCTAAAGTGAACTCAATTTTGCAATTCTCTTGCAGGCATGAAAAAAGCACTTTTTCATATTTTAAACTTTTTGAGAAAATAGGCTTTACTGAACTACCAGAACAATATAAAAGCTTTTCCTGGTAATAAATAAGAGAGCCAAGTGTAATCATTGACAGCATTGCCTGCAGTACCACTTGACCCATTAACTTGTCTGTACTTTGGTGAGAAACAGATGAAAAGGGTATTCCAAAGGATAAATGTCAAAAATAAAACTGTTAATTCTCTTTGTTTCATTTGAAATCATTTGCAAAATTATAGTGTATATTCTAAGGCAAAAATGATTGAGCATTTCATCGGAATGTACAGGATGGGGGAGAGAAAGCATTGCTATCCACCTAGCTGGTCCCAAAACAATATAAAAATAACTTAATTATTCTTGTCTCTCATATCCCAGTTGACTTCTTTACTAATTATTGATAACTATCCAAAATGTTGGAACCAAAAATTAACAAAGTAGCTGGAACACCAGAGATGTCTCAATAATTTGTAATTTTTCTTCTATATAAAAATGCTTTTAAATAATATTCAGGTGCATGTTATTAATATTCACGTTTCTTTAGGGGTAAACATTAAGTAGACTTTGTTTAACTTTCATCATTTGTAATCAAGATATGGGTTGACCCTGTTATTATTGGGTCCGTGAACCCCAGACCCTGTGTTCCAACAAGGTTAGTTCATAATCGCTACAGGTCAGCACTTCCGGTTTGTCATGTCATCGATGACGGCAGTCGACATGCACAGGAAGAACTGCTGATGTGACTTCCTACGTACTTTAGCTGAACACCAAATGTAGGAAGCTACAAAGCCGACCTATCAAAGCCAAAGTGTCTTGTACTTCAAGTATACCATAGATTAGTGTGTATATGTAATTTGTTATATACATTGTGTCCTGTTACATATTAACATGACATGTAGAACTTGAAATTCTTTGTTAACATTTGTAGTTAATGACAGAATTTAGAGACTAAAACCACTGTAAAATCCTAATGAATTTGAGTAACTTTTTTGTGATACTGTATAAAAGAATCTACATTATCATTGTAAAAAATACACTTAATTGAACCTCATTCACAGCTGAGGTTCATACCACTGTTAGTTTATTTTGTACCTTCCATCAATTTAGACTTCTTTAGGACCAATGCTGTTTTACAGTTCCATTGTGTTGGGATAAAGGAGTGCTGTGGCTCAGTGGTTAGAGCATTCGCCTTGCTAGCGAGAGACCTGGGTTTGATTCCTGGTAGAGTGAAACCTTGGGCAAGATTTCTTACTCCACATGCTTAATAATAATCCCTCAAGAAAAAAATACGACTGTTTGTGGACACTGGTGTGCGCAATTGGCTGCCGTGTTTCGCCCACAAAATATACAGTCAATTCAATTTACAGTATATTCTGTGAAGCGCTTTGAGGCGTCTAGAAGACGTGAAAAGTGCTATATCAAACGCAAGGATTATTATTGTTATAACCTTAAATATTATTTTTCTCTCAAGAAGTTAGAAGGGTCTAACATGGTGGATAGCAGATAATGTTCAAGTGAAAATTTCTTATATTTAAGCTATTGCTGCCTTCAGCCATAAATATCTGTCTCTTAAGTTCTGTGTGCAGTGAAATCAGATCTTCCTCTGCATTTAGCATAGAGAGATTTTCTGCCCCCACTCAATTTACCAGCCTTGAGAAGGCTTTGCCATGTAGGAGTTGCACCTTACATTCCATGCTACTATTAATAACATTGTTTCTCTTCACAAATAATTAAATTTGTGACATACACAAGATACCAATTCACATTTACTTGACATTGTGGTCATTTTGGGGGCATGTTTACATCTCTGTATTTGTGCAGTATCTACACACTTGATTTAACCTTGTAAGTGAAGCAGCTACTCTTAGATCTTGTTAATTTGCCAATAATTTAAAATCTTTACAAGGGGCTCAAGTTTAAGTTTAATGCCTCTTCTAATAAAAAGAGACTATGATATATTCCTTGAATTATATTTATGCATGCAATTTCTCTCTTTCTGCTAATAATATTTTTCGATACTTTTCACTAATGACATTTCTTTAAGAGATCATATAGTCTGATCCAATGTGTAATAAAGTTTTATTGACTTAATAAACTATTTTTCAAACTATCGTGTACAATTGAAAGATACTATGTGGGAGATTAACAGTGCTGGTCATGTTCTCATGACTAAATATGTGGCCTAAAGCAGATGTAGCTGGTTAGCATGGCATTGGAAGGTAACAGAACATGCCTAAATTTAAATTATATGCTGGTGATATGGCGGGATGAATCGCTCTGTCGTCAGTCTTTGGTAGCTCCTTCCTCTTTTGCGGTCGTAAGGCAAAGTAACCTCAAAAAACTTCCTAAGCATGCTGTCAAAGAGCCCATGATGGCCTGCAAGATGCTCAACGTGATGGGCTGTGATTGTTTGTGACACGTTCTGTTTGCTGACTATTTCTAAGGACGATGTAATGTCCACTAGAATATCAGAGCATAACTGAGACAGCACCAAAAAAAAGCTCCAAACCAACATTGCATCTTTCATCGTTCAGGCCCCGAAGTTTGGATTCTACTTTTTCACAAAGAGATCGAAACTATTTTGTTCAGAATCATAAATTTTGACAGACATTTTGCAAAGTTGCTTTTTTCACATGGTGCACTCCTATCATGATACTGACAAAGATTTACATTGTAAAATCTTCAGCGCTTACTGAGGTATGCCAGAGTCATCGGTTTATCACTGGAAGTATTTGTAATGGAAATTGCTGTGGAATTAATTATATTACAGTATAAATATGTTATGTTGCAGAGCAGATTTTTGTTCCATTTTGTTGTCCAGCTAGTGAGATTTTTATATCTGAGTGGATCTAAGGTCCATAGGTTTTGGTCATGCCCATATAGAATTCATTCCTCAGTAGTTGACTAAATTGGTGAATTTTAACACTACAGGATGCTCCAAGTTTCAGAGGAAGTTGGAATATTCAGTCAATACAGCTGCATATAACCAAATACACAATACAAACACACAAACCATTTGCTGAATTCAGTCTTAACTTTGAAGGCAGTTTTCTGTAATTTTTAAAATCGGCTTAAAAATTAAGGCTGCATTTAAGAATTTGCCCAACACTGGACAGTCTGAACTGCTACGTGAATAGAAAAAAAATCTAGATCTTGGTGGAATTTCTCCCCATTAAATGGGAAGCAGTTCAGCTTATCACAACCTGGCATGATTGGGCCCTCTGACTGCCTAGTTAGTGAGATTTACGAGCTCCAGTCACCAAACAATGACACTAAGGGGAGGAGCTACTCAAGGCTGGAGCAGTCAGTCAACCCGACCAATAACTAGGAAATTAGTGGAATCTGGCCATGCTCTGTTGCCTTCTGAAGCCATGCTCACTGTCAAAATCTCCTTTACCCTGCGTAATGTGTCGCCAAACAGACCAGTTTATCAATCTCCTGCACAGTAACGCTGAACAATATAAGCTGGTTTGCAACACACAAGTCATGAGGTCAAATGTATCTTCATTTACTTTACAACCACAATAATGATCTTTAAGGGCACAGTTTCAGCCATTTTAATGAGTGAAAGATGTATAAACATAACTACTATAAAATAGATAAAACTTGCATGTGTAAATATCTATCAAGAGCTCTGGGATGCTACTCTCCCTGAGGGGCACTATATAAATGCAAGTTGTTGTTGTTAAATATTGTATAAATAATAATGTATTGATATACTCCATAGAGACCTTCCTCCACTTGTAGCCGATTCATCTCTGTATCTTTAACAGGTAT